GTAACTTTCACAGGCCCCATGCTCTTCTCGGAGAAGACTGATAAGAGGCTTCATAGCCTAAAGGATTCACGGACCACCCTCCGTTCATTAGGCCTACACACCCTGGTCACCCAGCGTAGGCAGTTCAGGCCACCGCAGGCCCCTCAGTCGTACCAGCCTCAAAATCGAGGGGATGCCTTGTGCAGAAGGGCAAGGACGGGCAGGAGGAGGCAACAACAGCAGCCCTTCGGCCAGTCATCTGCCCAACCAAGGCCTACACAGGGGCCTAGACCACCATTTTGATGGCTTGGTCGAGGACGACCTCCCAGTCAGAACCCTGGATCCGTCCTTCTCGTCACGTCTGTCCCCCTTCTATCGTGCGTGAGCCCGGATCACATCGGACACTTGGGTGCTTTGCACGGTAGAGAGGGGATATTCTATCCAGTTCTCCTCCCTCCCGCCCCACCAGCCCCCCGCCTTGTCCCTCTTCAGGGACCCCTCTCACGAGCAACTTCTACTTCAAGAAGTTCAGTCCCTCCTTGCATCAGGGGCAGTAGAGGAGGTTCCTCAGGAGCTACGGGGCAAGGGCTTCTATTCTCGCTGTTTCCTAATACCGAAAGTGAAAGGGGGCCTCAGACCTATTCTGGACTTGCAGCGTCTCAACAAGTTTGTGAAGAAGCTCAAGTTCCGCATGGTCTCCCTGTCCTCCATCATTCCTTCCATGGATCCAGGAGACTGGTATGCCGCTCTCGACTTAAAGGACGCATACTTTCACATTGCGATAATCCCTCAGCACAGGCGTTACCTCAGGTTTCTCGTGGGCAATGCTCATCTACAATTTACGGTTCTGCCCTTTGGTCTGTCAGCAGCCCCAAGGGTCTTCACGAAGTGCATGGCAGTCGTGGCAGCCTTCCTGCGCAGGAGGGGATCCAGGTGTTTCCCTACCTGGACGATTGACTCATCAAGGGCAGGACCAAGGCGCAGGTGGAGGCTCAGGTGGTCTTTACCAGGCAGACCTTCCTCGCGCTCGGCCTCTTACTCAACGAGGCCAAGTCCACACTATCTCCAACCCAAAAAATCGAATTCATAGGAGCAGGATATGCCCTGGACTCGACACACGCCAGGGCATATCTCCCAGAGGCCAGATTCCGGACTATATCCAACATTATTCTCAGCCTCCAACGTTACCCGACCACCACAGCAGAAGCTGCCTCAAATTACTAGGGCACATGGCGGCATGTACCTGCGTGGTGAGACACGACAGACTCAGACTGCGCCCACTCCATTCTTGGTTGGCAGGGGTTTATCGGCCAGTCAGGGACTCCCTAGTGACGTTACCTCGGCCGGTGTTGGACTCCCTTCAATGGTGGCTCGACCCGTGGGTGGTCTGCGCGGGAGTGCCTTTCCTCGACCCCGAGCCCTCCCTTCCCTGGCAACGGATGCATCGGATCGGGGATGGGGTGCACATCTGGGAGGCCTCAGAACCCAAGGCCTTTGGTCATGAGAGGATCTTTCGTTGCACATCAATGTCAGGGAATTACGAGCGGTGCACCTCGCATGCATAGCCTTCAAATCCCAGCTGGCAGGCAGGTGCGTTTCTGTCCTCACGGACAATACTCCAACGATGTTCCATATCAACAAACAGGGTGGTGCTCGCTCCTCTCCCCTTTGCTGGGAGGCCCTTGCATTATGGGACTTTTGCGTACAGAACGTAATTCACCTCACAGCGTCCTACCTCCCAGGGATGCACAACGGGCTTGCGGACGCCCTCAGCTGCTCGTTCCAGGGTCATGAGTGGTCTATCCGCTGGGATATAGTACTCTCAATTTTCCGGCTTTGGGGTCATCCCCAGGTGGACCTGTTTGCCTCCAGCGAGAACAGGAAGTGTCGTCAATTCTGCTCCCTCAGGGGACGCAGTCCGGGGTCTCTAACAAATGCCTTTCTCCTCTCTTGGGCAGACGGGCTATTTTATGCCTTTCTCCCGATTCCCATGGTTCACAGAGTAATCCTCAAGGCCCACAGAGATCACACTCGGCTCATCCGGATAGTGCCTGCGTGGCCGCACCAGCACTGGTACACGTCTCTCCTGCACATGTCTATGCGGGTGCCCCTCAGGTTGCCCCTACTACCGGACTTGATCACACAGGATTGCGGTTGCCTCCTTCACCCGAACCTGGAGTCGCTCCACCTTACAGCCTGGATGCTCCATGGCTAAACCCCGTGGAGTTGCAATGCTCTCATCAGGTCAGGCAGGTCCTTCTTGGTAGCAGGAAGCCCTCAACAAGGACCACGTACTTGGCCAAGTGGAAGCGCTTCTCCCTCTGGGCCACACAACGGGGTCAGGCTCCCTTGCTCGCCCCAGTCCCTCTGATATTGGACTATTTGCTACATCTGAGACACCTGGGACTGACTCTCTCTTCGGTTCGAGTACACCTTGCTGCAATCTCGGCGTTCCACCCTGGAGCGGGGGGTACCTCAGTGTTTGCGGATCCACTCGTTGGACGATTCCTCAAGGGCCTTGACAGATTGTTCCCGCACATTCGTCAACCTGTCCCTGCTTGGGACCTCAATTTGGTCCTGTCCGTCCTCACAGGGCCCCCCTTTGAGCCGCTGGCTTCGTGCTCGCTGTTACATCTTTCATATAAGGTCGCATTCTTGGTGGCTATGACATCAGCCCGGAGAGTGTCGGAACTCAGAGCTCTAACATCTGAACCTCCATACACCGTCTTCCACAAGACAAGGTCCAACTCAGGCCGCACCCAGCTTTCCTCCCTAAGGTGGTTTCCCCATTTCACATGGGTCAAGACATTTTTCTCCCGGTGTTTTATCCGAAACTACACTCCTCTGCGAAGGAGCGTAGGCTGCATTCCCTGGACGTTCGCAGGGCTCTCGCGTTCTATATCGAAAGGACAAGATCCTTCAGGAGGTCAACCCAACTTTTTGTCGCCGTGGCCGAAAGGATGAAAGGGCTGCTGGTCTCCTCACAGCGATCTCGGCTTGGATCAGAACCTGCATCCGGGAGTGCTACAGTCGGCCCAGTATACCAGCCCTGCCTATCACGGCCCACTCCACGAGAGCGCAGGCCTCTTCTGCTGCGTTCCTGGCCCAGGTCCTGACGCAGGAAATTTGTAGAGCGGCCACCTGGTCCTCAATCCACACCTTTATGGCGCACTACGCCATCACACACCAGGCCAGAGCTGATGCTGCCTTTGGCCGCGCAATCCTCCAGTCTGCAGTGACCTCCGACCCCGCCGCCTAGATTCGGGCTTGTGAGTCACCTGCTTGGAATGGACATGAACAATCACTCGAAGAAGAAAAAACGGTTACTCGCCTTCTCGTAACTGTTGTTCTTTGAGATGTGTTGTTCATGTCCATTCCAATACCCACCCTCTTACCCCTCTGTCGGAGTATCAGCAAGAAGGAACTGAGGGGGTGAGGGGTCGGCTGGTCCCTATATACAGCGCCATGAAGGCGCCACTCCAGGGGGCGCCGAAGCCGACCCTATGGACGCTGCTATAGTAAAATCTTCCGGCTGGCGTGCACGCGGCGCGCACACACCTGCTTGGAATGGACATGAACAACACATCTCGAAGAACAACAGTTACGAGAAGGTGAGTAACCGTTTTTTCTCGGTGGTGGCAGATGACAGAACAAGGAGCCAATGGTCTCAAGTTGCAGTGCGGGAGGTCTAGGTTGGATATTAGGAAAAACTTTTTCACTAGGAGGGTGGTGAAGCACTGGAATGGGTTCCCTAGGGAGGTGGTGGAATCTCCTTCCTTAGAGGTTTTTAAGGTCAGGCTTGACAAAGCCCTGGCTGGGATGATTTAGTTGGGGATTGGTCGTGCTTTGAGCAGGGGGTTGGACTAGATACCTCCTGAGGTCCCTTCCAACCCTGATATTCTATGATTCTATGACTGAGCCAAGTATGCTGCCAGATTTGAAAAAGCAGCCCAAGTCGTAATCTGCATGTGGATATTAGAGGACTTTAAAATACTGCTCTGAGCCCAGAAATTTTGGTTTTCGTGGGCACAACGCCCCAGAGGAACTCCTGCAGAATGCAGGGAAAATTCATAATGCACATTAGCCCTCTGAACCCCACCGACCCACGCTCACTCTACCCAGCTTCCCTGTGACTCTTCCCTTTTTCTCTTGTCCTCTCTTTCTCGGAAAGAAGTAGGTGGTTTCCCTGCTGGCTGCAATCTTCACCTTCTAAGCTACGGAGTTGCAGTCTCTGTGTTTTAGGCTCCTCTTTGAGGAGGATGGTCGGGCGATGTGTTTTCCCAGCAGAGATGGGGTTTGTTAAATCCCTCTTTAAGCAGAATGTCCTACACATCTGCACCTCTGTGGCGCTAGCCTCAGCACATTGCTATGTTAAAATGGCCTCGGGTTAAAACAATAATAAATTTGTGAGAAATGCCCTTGAGCCCACCTGATTTCCTTTCCCCGTGCAGAGTTTCCAGTTGTCACACCTGATGAGCTCTCTCACCTGGAAGAAGACAAAGAGCCGTGGGTCCCAGATCTCTTTCATTCAGAGGAAAGAGAGATCCTGAGAGGTACCTGCACAGGTGAGGAATCACTAAATCAATTCAAAACCTGTCCATGTCTGAAGGACACAGCTGGGGTTCCCGACAGAGACCTTGTGAGTTCTCTGAGTTCAGGATTCTGCCCAGCAGGTTTGTATCCTCAGGGCAGAAGTTGCTCATGACTTCCTACCCATCCTGAGTGACAGCTGGCAGTAACTTCCTCCTTCACCTCCCTTCCCCCTGAGTGTTTGGACGGGATTTACAGGCAGAATTGATCCCCTTACCTCTGCAGGACAGAATTTGGGGAAATTCAGTCCCTGATTTATGTCCATCTCTCCAGCACTTCTTTGGTTGACCAGGATGGTGATAGTGACCATGAAATGCTCAGGGAGATTAGAGAGTCTATAAAAATAAACTCAATAATGGGGCATTTTCACTATCCCCATGTTGACTGGGTCCATGTCACCTCAGGACGGGATGCAGAGATAAAGTTTCTTGACACCATAAATGACTGTTTCTTGGAACAGCTGGTTCTGAAACCCACCAGAGGAGAGGCCATTTTTGATTTAGTCCTAAGTGGAGCACAGGATCTGGTCCAAGAGGGGAATGTAGCTGGACCACTTGGTAATAGCGCCCATAATATAATTAAATTTAACATCCCTGTGGAAGGAGGAAAACACCAAAGAAGCCCACCATAGTGGCATTTAATTTCAGAAAAGGGACCTACACCAAAATGAGGAAGTTGGTTTACCAGAAATCAAAAGGTACAATCTCAAAAGAGAAATGCCTGCAAACTGCATGGAAACTTAAAAACACGGCAGTGGAAGCTCAAATTAAATGTGTATCCTAAAATTTAAAAAAAATGTAGTAAGAGGACCAAGAAAGTGCCACCATGTCTAAACTACAAAGTAAAAGAAGCTGTTAGAGGCAAAAAGCAAGTTAAATCCTACTGCGGAAAATAGAAAGAAACATAAACTGTGGAAAGCCACTGTAACCATGCCTTTGTGGGTCACAACTGACAATACCCAAATTCAGGACAAACGGCTGAGAAATAGGGTGGACATAACCCAAAACAGGAGGCTATTCTCCCATGAGATATACCAAACCAGCAACAAAAGTAAACTTCTGTTTCACCACACTGGCTAACAAGAAGTCAGAACAGCAGTTTCCTTAGGAATTCCAGTCCCTTGTATCACCAACAAAAACACTAGATTTATTGATGAGTGGTTCTTTAAAACCAATTTAATCAAATAAGAGGTTCTTCTGATCCCAAAGAACCAGCCACATGCCCAGGTCAAGTCAGATCTTACCCCAAAATCACACTGTTGCCAATCCTTTAGGACCTAAAATCTCAAGGTTTATTTATAAAAAGAAAGAAAGGTGAGAGTTAAAATTGGTTAAAGGAGTCAAATACATACAATAAATGCCAAGTTCTTGGTTCAGGCTTGTAGCAGTGATGGAATAAACTGCTGGCTTGATAAGTCTCTGGTTGCTTCTAAATAACTGGACGGTCCTCAGTCCTTTGGTTAGATGCTTCCATTAGTATAAGTCCATAGTCCAGAGGTTTGAGCAGGAAAGAGGGTGGATCAGGATAGAGGCACAGTGGAGATGTTTCCAGGGCCTTTTATAGCGTCTGCCATGTGGCGGGAAACCCATTCTTTCAAACAAAGCTAGTGGAAAATTACAGGTACAAGATGGAGTTTGGAGTCACATGGGCAAGTCACATGTCTGTGCCTGACTTCACTTAGTCCTGTCAGGAAAATCCATTAAGAGTAGATCGCCGTCTCCCATTGTAAATCAAGTGTCCTTTAATGGGCCACGCAATTTGAATAGTCCCTCCAAGATGCGCTGGCTAGCTACCATGTGGGCGTTACCCCAGGAGCCAACATTTGAAACCCAGGTGTAGAGCCAATGCTCATAACTTCAAATACAAAAATGATACATGCATCCAGATAGCATAATCATATTCAGCAAATCATAACCTTTCCATAGACATCTTACATGCCCCATTTTGTACACGATTGGTTGCAAATATATAACAGTGGTTGCAACAATGATCTATATGGTCATAGTTTAATCAGATAATGTCACAGCCACGTGTAAAAGTATAATCTGGCAGACCAAAAAAGAATTTGAAGAGCAACTAGCCAAAGACTCAAAAAGTAACAACAACACAATTTTTAAGCACACCAGAAGCAGGACACCTGCTAAACAGACGGGGGGCCACTGGCCGATCGAGGTACTATAACAGCACTCAAGGATGATAAGGTCATTGTGGAGAAACTAAATTAATTCTTTGCATCAGTCTTCCCTGCAGAGTTTGTGAGGGAGATTCCTACACATGAGCCATTCTTTTTAGGTGACAAATTTGAGGAACTGTCCCAGATTGAGGTGTCATTAGAAGCGGTTTTGGGAACAAATGATAAATTAAACAACAATAAGTCAACAGGACTCACCCAAGAGTTCTGAAGGAAGTCAAATGTGAAATTGCAGAGCTACTGACTATGGTATGTCATCTATCATTGAAATCAGCTTCTGTACCAGATGACTGGAGGATAGCTAATGCGATGCAAATTTTTAAAAAAGGCTCCAGAGGCGATCCCAGCATTTACAGGCCAGTAGGCCTAACTTCACTATCAGGCAAATTGGTTGAAACTCTAGTAAAGAACAGAATTATCAGACTCATAGATGAACATGATTTGTTGGGGAAGAGTCAACATGGCTTTTGTAAAGGGAAATCATGCCTCACCAATCTACTAGAATTCTTTGAGGGAGTCAGCAAGCATGTGGACAAGGGTGATCCAATGAATCTAGTGTTCTTAGATGTTCAGAAAGCCTTTGACAAAGTCTCTCACCCAAGGCTCTTAAGCAAAGTAAACTGTCATGGATTAAGAAGGAAGGTCCTCTCAGGATCTGGTTAAAAGAGAGGAAACAAACTAGGAATAAATGTTAAAGTGTCAGAATGGAGAGAGAGAAACAGTGGGGTCCCTCAGGGGTCTGTATTGGACCTGCGCTGTTCAACATATCCATAAGTTATCTGGAAAAGGAGGTGACAAAATGTGCAGACAATACAAAACTACTCAGGAGAGTTAAGTCCAGAGAAGACTGTGAAGAGTTACAAAGGGATCTCAGAAATCTGGATGACTGGGCAAGAAAATGGCAGATGAAATTCAGTGTTGATAAATGAAAAGTAATGCACATTGGAAAACATAATCCCAACTATACATACTGAATGACAGAATCTAAGTTAGCTGTTACCACTCAAGAAAGGATAGTCAGGGATCCACCCCATGCTCTGTGTGTCCCCAGCCTCCTGATTGTCAGAAGCTGGGAGTGGGCAACAGGGGATGTATCTGTTGATGATTGCCTGGTCTGTTTATTCCCTCTGAAGCAGCTGGCATTGGCCTGTGTCGGAAGACCGGATACTGGGCTAGACGGACCATTGGTCTGACCCAATGTGGCCGTTCTTATGACCCTGGCTTCATTTATAACTTCACATGAGATTTTTTGTTGAAGCAGAATGTACATGCCAGAACAGGGTATTCTTGTAACCCCTTGCCGGGTGGCAATTGAGGGACTCTTGGGTCATAATCACACACTTCCCTTATACTTCTAATCAACTGTGTGAAGGACTCATCTGCCTCAGGGAGTCAGCAGAACTCATGTAAACCTTTCCCTGATACTGATAGATCAATACTTGCCAACAGGGCAGTGTGCCAGCCACTTACCCGTGGGTTCAAAATTCATCTCCGATCAAACATGGAAAGGAGTTTGCTTTTATCTTGGCCTGCTCCACAACATTCCTGTTTGCTGCAATTCTCCACCAAAAATGTTATAAGAAGCACACGGGATTTTTATAGGGGAGAAGGCAGCACGCCGCATTTATTGAGAATACAACAGTTAGCACATGCTTTTTAATTACAGACCCACACCATGCACACAGTCCCGCCAGTTGATGTTTATAGTTACTAGCCCAGAGTTTGGATTAATTTAGTGGCCAGACAGATTGGTCGCAGAGGGGAGCAGGGCTCTGTCGGTTGCAATTCGATGCTTCTGGAGCGTGGCAAGACGAACCCAAAGTCCCACGGCAAAGCACTCTCTTTTTATTAGTTTTTTTTTTTTTAATTATTAAAGTTTATAAAGTTTGCTGTGTTAGTTTATAACCGGTCATTTTTTAATTGGTGTTATTTTTTAATATTAATATTTTAAAACACCGCCAAAAAGGTTATTTTGTTCCAAATTTAATTAATTGTGTTTTAAAATGCCAGCCTATACCTCAGGGTTGTTAATTTGTCCTTCCTCAATCATAAATGCGCGGTAATAGTTTTTTAGCATTAATAAGTGTTTTTGCTATTTATTTTTTTAAACTATTTGGTTAACAGTGGCCCTTACACCTTATTTTTTTCCTAATGCATGCATTTTTTATTTACACAAACAGTTTTTCACAAAAACCTTCAAAAAATATACAGCAATTTTTATATTAAGCAAAAAAAGCATTATAAATTAAACCTTACTAAATTTTGTAATTAAAACAGTACACCTTGTGGCCCGAGCCTTTAACATTCCTCTAAATTCCTTAACATAAATACAATACAAAATTCTATTTTTTACTTACTAAACCTTAAAACAAAAAAAATTGATATTTAACTAAAACGCCTAATTTATAATACATATAAAAAAAACATAATAAACATTATAACTTTGGCCTGATCTACACTGGGGGGTGGGGGGGATGGGAGGATCGACCTGAGATACGTGAATAGCGTAGCTGAAGTCAACGTATCTTAGGTCGACTTACCTTGCATCCTTACGGCGTGGGGTCAACTGCCGCCGCTCCCCTGTCGACTCCACTTCCGCCTCGCCGCGGTGGAGTACAGGAGTCGACAGCAGAGCAATCGGGGATCGATTTGTAGACTCGATAAATTGATCCCCGATAGATGGATCACTACCCGCCGATCCGGTAGACGTACCCTTATCTTAAAACAAAAAAACCCCATAATCAAGCATAAAAATTATTCTAATCTGCCCCTGCCTTAACATCAATACAAACACTAGCAATCTATCAAATGTTTCTACCAATATCCCAAAAAATCATTCTTTTTTGCTATTCAAAAAAATAACAAAATAATTAAATCATATATTAATTCTTATAGTACAAATATAAAATTCTGGTCCTATACAACTGGCTTAAGAGAAGGCCATTGGAACAGCAGGAGTTTTGTAGGACAGAACTAGTATTCATTGGTGGCTCTGTCGGAGAAAGCTTGCACAGCTCCTGTCTACACAATTGCTGGCTCAAAGCCAGCACTGTTATTCCTCCACTTCTCTCAGCGCAGCATTTGCTCGCCATTTATTTTGAAGTGAAAACACGCTGCGTAGATGGTTATGCAGACTTTGCAGGTAAACTGTTAGGACTGGGGCTCTCTGAGTTGGTGAATGTCATGGTGCAAGCGCACCCCGTCCCCTTTTTGGGGCAGGAGAGGGGACATTATCGCCCTGTGGCTGAGTCCGCCTGATCTCCCTGAGCCTTGGAGTGATGCGGTGTAGGGACCAAAGGCAATATGGCTGCCCCCATCCCTCAGGGCTGCATAGCCTGATGGCCAATGGGAAGAAGTGTACCATCACCTAGGCGTGGTTGGTGGCCGGGGTAGGGGAACCTGGGCCCTCCCTGCTCCACCGGGTCCCAGCCCAGGACCCTGTCAGTGGTGAAAGTATTTGCCACTGAGTCAGTGGGACCGCAACACACTGATATCACCCGGTACATTCATTAGTCCCCCTGGGCTACTTCCTATTCTGTCCCTGATGCTGTGGTCCGGGCACCTCTGGGGTCTCCAGGTTCCTCAGCCTGCACAGTTCCTGGTGGCTCTAATCCCTCTTGGGTGTCCGTAGGTACCTGGGCGTCCGCTTGAGTCTCGGTGTCTCTGGCTCCTGCGGTCTGAGACTTCCGCAGCTCCCGGGCTGGTGCATCCTCCCTCCTCAGCGATCAGCCCCAACTGAGCAGAGCTGCTGCCTTTTATACCTGGGTTCCAGCCAGAGCATGCCCAGCAGAGTCGAGGGGGTGTGGCCTATTTGGCCCACAGAGTGGGGTTAACCCCTGCTGAACCAGTGCAGGGAAAGCATGCCCTGTCACGGTGAGATATAAAGTGATATTTAGAACAAGATCTCTGGGTTAAAAAATGTTTAAGTCTAAAATTTGGGATCTGTGAAGAGAACTCAGAGTCTGAATGGTTGTTGCATCAGACACCCTTAGAAGAAGGTAGAGAGAAGAAAACAGGGCCAAAGATGAAAAACATAATTTAAATGCCTCCAACTTTGCTCTAAAGTATTCTAGAAGCTAAGGGGTCTGGTCTAGAATTTGATGAACAAAACACAAGTTAACTGTATTAAAGTATCGAGGTACAGGACTACATAGCTCAGATGAATAGCAATGGGGTGAGGGAACTTTACCTTTAGGTCACCAACCTGTAGAATTCAATTTTTATTTTTATTTTTTTTTATGTCAACTTATTTTTAAGCTTTTTTTCAATTTGTATTGTTTTAAATTTTCATAATTGTGCAAAATAAAAGTTTTAGCCTTTTTTTCCAATGTTTATCCATTTTAAGTTTTCAGTTGCAGGAAATTATGCGGGGAAGTCAGACAATCATTATTTAATGGCAGTAGATGTTGAAAACAACAAGGAGTCTGGTGGCACCTTAAAGACTAACAGATTTATTTGGGCATAAGCTTTCGTGAGTAAAAACCTCACTTCTTCGGATGCATAGCTGTTGAGATTCGGATGAGTAGATGTTGAGATTCAAACCGTTAAAGCTTTTTCGCTGGGAAAACAAACTCTCAACCTCACGTGCCGAAATATACGAAGTCGGTATCCTTAAAGCAAACTCTGTGTTCTCAAGCAGCATTTTTCTTAAGTTGCCTATGTGAAATTTTGATTATTGACGGCAGTATTTTTGCTTGGTTTGTGTGTTTGCAGTGAAATTGATATTTATTGATAACAATCTAATCCTTCCAAGCTTACCAGTGTGAATCCACCGAAGTATGTGCTTAATTGAAAGCACATTAAATATTTAGTTGGGGATCGGTCCTGCCTGAGCAGGGAGTTGGACTAGATGAACTCCTGAGGTCTCTTCCAATCCTGATCTTCTATGAGTCAATGATTCTATGTGAGTGGTCTCATTGAAACTCTAGGGATTAGGGATTGCCAGAACACGAGGCGCTTCTGGCCTCTTCCACCGCAGCTAATTTGCATCATGGTTTGGTCTCCCCTTTTTTATTCCTTTTTCTGCCAATAGGTGATGGGATGCTGAGGGAGAAGGAAGAGCACCAACCTCAGCAGGAAGATGCTGAGCAAGACCAACCACACGGGGCATTATTGCAAATATCTGAGGAGGATGTGTCCAGGAGTGGTGAGCAGAGAGAAGGATGTGAGAGTCAGCACAGGCCAGAGAGGAAGCAGGGAAACAAGCCAAGGGAGAAATTGAATAAATCCATTAATAGTTGGGGACTTCACAAATACGTCAAGAAAACCATAGCCCAGCAGAAAATCCAGGCAGGAGCGAGAAACAACACATGCTCTGAGTGTGGGAAAAATTTCAGTAGTCGCTCAGTTCTTCTTAAACATCAGAAGATCCACACAGGAGAGAGACCCTATGAATGCCGTGAGTGTCAGAAAAGCTTCACTCACAGATCATCCCTTATTAAACATCGGAGGATACACACAGGAGAGAGACCCTATGCGTGCTGTGAGTGTGGCAAAAACTTCATTGACAGCTCAGCCCTTATTAAACATCAGAAATTCCATGCGGGAGAGAGACCCCATGAATGCAGTGAGTGCGGGAAAAGCTTCACTCAGAGCTCGGACCTCATTACGCATCAGCGAATCCACACAGGAGAGAGACCCTATGAATGCAGTGTGTGTGGGAAAAGCTTCACTCAGAGAGCATCCCTTATTAAACATCAGAGAATCCACACAGGAGAGAGACCCCATGAATGCTGTGAGTGCGGGAAAACCTTCACTCAGAGCTCAGGACTTTTTAGACATCAGATCATCCACACCGGGGCGCGATCCTATGCATGCTCTGTGTGTGGAAAAAGCTTCACTCGGCGCTCAAACCTAATTGTACATCAGAGAATCCACACGGGGGAGAGACCCTATGGATGCTGTGAGTGCGGGAAAAAATTCATTGACAGCTCATCGCTTAAGAAGCATCAGAGAATCCACACGGGGGACAGGCCTTATGGATGCTGTGAGTGCGGGAAAACTTTCACTCGCAGCTCAAATCTCATTACACATCAGCGAACCCACACAGGAGAGAGACCCTACGAATGCTGTGAGTGCGGGAAAAGCTTCACGGACAGCTCTCTCCTTATTAAACATCAGAGGATCCACACGGGGGAGAGGCCCTATGAATGCTGTGAGTGTCAGAAAAGCTTCACAGACAGCTCAGACCTTATTAAACATCAGAGAATCCACACCGGAGAAAAGCCCTATGAATGTGGTGAGTGCGGGAAAAGCTTCACTGACAGCTCAGACCTGATTAAACACCAGCGAATCCACACCGGAGAGAGACCACATACATGCTGTGACTGTGGGAAAAGCTTCACTCAGAGATCATGCCTTATTAAACATCAGAGAATCCACACCGGAGAGAGACCACATACATGCTGTGACTGTGGGAAAAGCTTCACTCAGAGATCATGCCTTATTAAACATCAGAGAATCCACACCGGAGAGAGACCA